TACTGGGCGTGGCCAACTCAGGAGCCAGCCGGAACTCCGTTTCTGTGCGTTCCTGCCCAAAAATAGCCCTGGGGATTGCTAATATAACATGGGTAAATCTGAAAATATTTAAATTAGGAGACTGGAGCCATGAACAGACAAGACCGATCTTTCTGTAAACCCAAGAAAAACTCCATGTTTGCAGAAAAATTCTGAAATCTTATAAAAAAGCAAGCAAGCAAACAAACGAACAAACAAAAACAAACAACAAAAACACCTATACCTTTAAAAAACAGATGCCCTCTGCAATGGCCATTGTGGGGGTTGCTAGGCAATCACAATGGTATTCACAGTTCAAACCTTGGTTTCTTTGAGTACAGGGTAGAGAAGAGGGAGCATGGTCCTTGCCAGGGCTATTTCAGCCTTTGAGGGAAGATTCATCAGGGCCAGGGCCAGGGCCAGCAGTAACCACTGGGCAATTGACTTAAAACCAAATGATTTCTATGAGACACCCAGTCCCAGCCACTCATTACTGTTCAGCAGCAGCCACTACAGAAAAGCCAATGTGGTTTAGTGGTCAGGATTCCACACTAAGATCTGGGAGAACCAGGTTCAGATTCCCACTCTGCCATGAAAACTTGCTGGGTGACCTTGGGTGAATCACACACTCTCAGCCTAACTGACCTAACAAGGTTGTTGTGAAGATAAAATGGAAGAGAATTATATAGGCTGCTTTGAGTCCCCATTGTGGAGAAAGGCAGGGTTTAAATGTACTACAAAATAATAAATATAGGTGAAGATGGAGAGCAGATAAAATGTAGATGAGTGGGTAGGAAGGATAGAAGAAAGCAGGGAAAAGTGAGGATACTATGGCTGCCGGGAAGATGAAAAGGAAAATAATGTGGTGAGGGAGAAACAGAAGAAACTGAGGTTCTCACCTCACAACTGGGCCTGGCCTGGTTGCTGGCAGTGTGGAACTTGGCCAGACTGTTCCCAGGGAGGGCCTGCCAAGGGCAGGAAAGGAGAGAAATCTGAAGACAGGGTAGGTTGGCTGGTAGGTGGGAAGAAGAGAAGGGAGCAGGAAAAGTGGTGAGGCTACAGGGGCTTTCAGGAAAGGGAA